CTACTAGAAAAGCTGCACTTAAAAACTCTATTCATTTAAAATGGGACAAAATTCACATTGTCTGTCATTACCTTATTAAGAAATAGACAACGAAGAAATGTTTTTCATTAAGACTGTCACTGAGACACAATGCTGATATCAACAGGCATTTTTGTATGTGTTCTCCTTTCTGAAACCTTGTCAGCATGTTCTCATTCACTTGCAGAAACTTAGTGGTAAAAAAATTTCAAATGTAAAAATTCTAATGCCACTGTCATTAGCCAGAAAAAGAAATGGCAGAGCAAAGAAAGAATCTTAGAGAATAAAATCTCTCTGGAGACATTCCAAGGAGGATGCCTGTATTGGCCTTCTTCAGCCCCAGTGCACTAGACATGCAGATGGCCTCGAAAGTTTCCACCAACCATGAACTTTCTCTATTCCTCAAATAAACTTCGCTTCCTCCCACCTTGGCACCTTTCAACACTTGTTCTTTCTCCCTGGAATGCTGTCTCCACTGATCTTCCTCCAATCCTTGCACACCCTTCAGATCACTGCTTAGAGAAATCTTCCTCCACCTCCTAGACTCAGTTGGGTCCTTTGTCGTGTTCTTTGATTGGGATCAAATATTGTCATTGTTGGTAGTCATGTATTTGTGTGATGCACAATGCTAATTCCATGGGGTGGGAACCGGACCTACTTTTAGGCACCACTATATCCCTGGGGTTTGGTGTAGTGATGGAAGCCTAGGAGAGGCACATGAAATGCCTAAAGGGAACCTGAGCACCCACTGCTTGGGCCAGTGCTGCTTCTTGTGCTGGTGCTTCTGCAAAATTAGATCATAGAGCTCTTACCTCCTCCTGTTCAGATTATTTGTGCCAAAGACATGTGACTTAAGTTGCACATTGGAGTATGCAAAGCAATGCTTTCCTCAAGCTTCACCACAGTTTTGATTGGCATAGCCTGGGCTTGATTTATAGCCCCTGGGATTACCAGATTAGTAGTGGAATGCTGAAATGTGGAGAACCATTTATCAGTTTTTTCAGCTCACAGGGGCACCTTTAAGAAAACCTGGCTGCATAGCAGAGTTGGCAATTAATCTGATTTTCACCGAAGGGCATATGTTCTATGCCATTCAAGTTTGAGGTCCCCACCCTCATGAGTGTTCACAGTTAAGGAAGATTCTGATACTCTTTTGTCTTCCACTCCAGTAACAATATTAGTATTGAAGGGAACAAAAATGACATTATGCTAGGTAGAACCTATGATGATGTGCAAAAAGTGTTAATAAATCAAAGCACAAATATTAACCAATCGTTTGTGACACCCTCTTGGCTGATGATGATCCTATCACATTGCAAATGAGAATTTAAAATCTGGGTTAAAAATCTAAAAATCACTCAGGGGACTCTGGGGTCCAGCTAGGACCCTCAGGTTGCCATCCCTGCTTGTCACCCCAAACACCCGCAACCCCAGGAGCAAGCCTACTACAGTGTTTCTCTGCATCCTTGCTATTTTACTTTCCGGCTCTAGAATCTGGACAAATTGGAAACTGGCATCAGTTTGCCACTCTTTTAATAGACCTGATACATCTTGGAGTCCCCCATTTACTTGGGCATTTTTACAATTCTATTTTAAAGAAAGGTGTTTCTTTGTTGGGTTTTTAATCAAAACAAAATAGTTAAAGTGCTTAACCTTAGGGACCATGGTACATGTTCGTATTTTAACTCTCACATTCTCTATCCCAACACCCCTTCACCTACAGCACAGTATCTTGCTCAGTAAACCCTTTGGAGTTTTTATTTGTCCGCACTTCTTTCTTCTCTCACCTCTTCTTGCCTCCAGGAAGGATACTGTGGGGCCGGCTTCTCTTATGACAGCGCCTATTAGTATGCTGGCTTTGTGCCAGTCTGGCCATTCCATCCACAATCTAGTTCTGGAGAACCCAAGAACTGAAATTCTCCCTTTACACTGAGCAGAGGGTGTGGCCATGACAGCCCCTTGTTCCTTGCCAGTAGAAAGCCCTGACCTCAGTCAGCTTTGCTCTCCTCAGAAATGCCAAAGAAAGGAGATGAAATTGGCGGAGGTGGCCTGATTCTTCCCTAGTGGGCTGAGTCAGGCTCCCAATCCTCAAAGAACTGTTCACTTTCCGCAACTGGGTTTTCCTGAAGGCACGATGTAGCGACCACTGTGCACCGTACTTGGATTCAGAAGACCCGGCTGCAAGTTTGGACACGACCACTTACTAGCTACGTGACTTCAGGCAAGCCACTTTAGCTTTCTGAGCTTGTTGGCTTGAAAGAATGCGCCTTGATTCTGCTCCATTATCTATACTATTCATATTTAAAGGTTCGTACTTCGCAAGAGACACTCTTTAAAAAAAAAGGAGTTATCTACTGACCCGTTTCAGCGGAGGTTCAGTAAAGGCCTCCCAGGACTGGCCCCAGGCGTTCCCGGGCCTCCCCGCGGCTGCCGCCCGTCCCCGCCCCCACCCCCACCCCATTCCCTGCGCACCACGGGCTGATGCAGCGTAGCTCTTAGGGGGAGGTGTGAGTCCTTGGAAATCTCCGAAGAATTTCAGAGGGTCGGTCACTCTCATTTACCCTAACGTGCTTTGAAGACTCCTCGAAGGGCCCCTCCTCCACCCGCCTTCCACTGGCCGCCTCTTCCGGGAAGGGTGGCAGCCGGAGACCTCGCGGTTCTCCCTCCCTCAGGCCGCCCCCGGCCGGCGTCTTGCTCTCCGCACCCTGCTGGCCGGGCACTTGGGCGTCCAGGAGCTCCCTCTCGGGGCGGCGCGCGGCGACCGCCGACGGGTTTGGCAGCAGCGCCAGTCGCCGGGCGGCCCGGGCAACTCGCCCGCCTGCCGGTCCGCCCACGTGCGCAGAGAGGAGCGAAGCGCGATCAGTCGCCGCGCCAGCGCTTGCCGCCGGTGGGTGCCTCACCTCAGGGGCCGGCGGGGGCCATAACCTAAGCCCCTTCGCCGGGTTACGCATTTACATAATTCGGCTTCTCTCCCTTCTTTCAGATTCAGGGCTGGAGATGCGAGTCGGGCTCCCCTCCGAGGCGTCGTCTTGCCCATGGTCAGCGCGGGGGCCGCGGGACCCACCGGAGCGCAGGCGGAGCGGGCTGGCGCACGTGGTAAGAACGCAGCTATCTTTTTTTCTTTTTCTTTTCTTTTGAAATAGGACTTTGCACGTTTTTGCCGGAGGTGGGGTATCTACTAGGGTACTAACGTTGCTGCCATTTCTTTCCGTGTCCTTTTAATCCCCAATTGGAAAAGAGCGCACAGCGCAAGCGGGAAACTTTCCCAAATGTGCTCTGGGTGATTGAAGTCAAAGAGATGGCTGGTCTCCAGAGACCAGCTTTTTTGGAGGGAGAAGAGAAGCAGAGGGGTGGAGGAGCGGAGGGAGAGACCGCTCTCCGCCGCCCCAAGGCCCTGAATGCGGTGCGCAGGGCTTGGCGAGAACTGGCGCAGGGCAGCAGCGGTCGCGGCAGGTGAGCTACTGGAGAGCCGCCTGCAGCACCGCGCTCCCTCCACGGCGTGGCGCCGTGGCTCCCGCCCGCTCCAGCCCACAAGAGGCTAGGGCCGCTCCGGCCGGGGGTGAAAAAGGGACAGGACAGGCCGGCGAGGCTCACTACGCATTATCCCTGGCCTCCGCGGCTTTGGAGCGGGAAAGGGCTGGGGCAGCTCGCAACCCGCACAAACGACCATGAATGAGCCACGCAGGCGGCGGTGCGCTGGGCTTGGGGACCCAGGACCAGCCTCCTGTGGGGCCTGGGCCAGGACGGGCTACCCATACGGGCTGGGGCGCACCCGGAGGTAGAAGCTTTGCGCCTAGCAAGCCAGAACCTGCTGCCATTTGGACCTTGGAAAAGTTGTTTAAAATTGCGTTGGGAACTAAATAGAAAGGTTTCTACTTGCAAAGTAAAACGAGTGGGTGGGGGGATGGAGATGGTGTCTTGAAAGTGGCATTAGAGATGCCGCCGGCCGTCACTGAGAACCGCGCGGGGCTCACGGAGGTGTGTTTTGGCGAGGGCGACAAAATATTTCTCCTAGTGCATGTATTCTGGCTCGGGTGGGGGCAGGGCGCGCCCCTGGATCATGGGCTGTTGGGGTCAGGGGGGTTCTATGGTGGCCAGGACAGATAGTGAAGGTCAGGACAGTGTCTTCACAGAGCCTCCTGTCCGGCGAGCCCGGGCGCCCCCTCTGCCTCCGGGACACTGCTGGCAACGCGGGCGCGCGGGCGCACTCAGTCAACAGGGAGGTGTGTAGTGTAAGGTGTTGTGAGTGGGTGTGTGATGAGGGCAGCGGGGGCGGGAGTGTGTAGCGGAAGTGGAGCGAGTGTGAGTGTGTATGTGTGTGTGGAGGGACAGGGTGAGTGTCCAAGCTTCCATCTGGACGCCCCCACGCAGCCGACCGCCCAGACGCGCCGGGAAGGGCGCCCGCTCAGCGCAGCAGCTGAAGGGGGGCGGGGAACGCGCGGGCAGAGGAAGGAGGGTGTCTCCGGCTGAGGATTTCTCTCGAAGCTCCCTACAGTTATTCTGCTCCTCCTAGGGTTTACCCTCCCAGTCTCAAGGTGCCCAAAATACTTAAACAAACAAACAACCCAAACCTGTTCCGTTTTCGCTCCTGTATAAATAGAACAGACTTTCCAAAAAAGCAATACGCATTCACTCTTATCACCAGCCACTTCTTTCCACCAAGTAATTCAGAAAAAAGCAGTCAGCTTCCGTGAATGCATGTAGCTTTTTTTTTTTTTTCTTTGCTGCCTCCTTTTGCTTGCGGTTTTGAGCTGCCAAGAAAGTGAGTAGGGGTTTGACTGTAGTGTCTCGGCTCCGCTCGGTTTCTTTCCGAAGTTTAATTTTCCGGAATGGCTCCCAAACAAGGGCTAGGGAGGCGGAGCCGCCAGGACCGGATCTTCGCCTTTTTTGGAAAGTCCCGGAGAACCGGAATTCCTCCCCGCCCCGGGAGGCTGAGCCGCAGCCTGGAGCCGCTTGGGCTCTTGCTGTGGCTGCGGCGGGGTCCGTGGCGTGCCCGCTCCCACGCGATCCCTGCGCATCGGACCCAGGCTGCAGCTAGGGCCGCGCGCCCGGGACCCCAGCAGATCCCCGCCGGCTGCGAGCTGGGAGTCGCGAGCTCAGCGGAGCCCGCGCGGTCGAGCCCGTGTATGCAAATTAGCCATGTGACGGCAAAAGCCTCCTGGCCCAGCCCTGTTCCTCAGTCCATATATGGGCAGCGACGTCACGGATATTGAAGACCTGCCCATAAATACTTAGAGCAACACTTTCCGTCTAACTGAGCGAGCAGCAATTGATTAATAGCTCGGCGAGGGGACACACTGACTGTTATAATAACACTACACCAGCATCTCCTGGCTTCCCAGCAGCCGGAACACAGACAGGAGAGAGTCAGTGGCAAATAGCCATTTTTCTTCTTTCTTAAAAAACAGCAACTTGTTTGCTACTTTTATTTCTGTGTTGTTTTTTTTTTTTTTCTTTTTCTTTTTGGTGTGTGTGGTGGTTGTTTTTAAGTGTGGAGGGCAAAAGGAGATACCATCCCAGGCTCAGTCCAACCCCTCTCCAAAACGGCTTTTCTGACACTCCAGGTAGCGAGGGAGTTGGGTCTCCAGGTTGCGCGAGGAGCAAATGATGACCGCCAAGGCCGTAGACAAAATCCCAGTAACTCTCAGTGGTTTTGTGCACCAGCTGTCTGACAACATCTACCCGGTGGAGGACCTCGCCGCCACGTCGGTGACCATCTTTCCCAATGCCGAACTGGGAGGCCCCTTTGACCAGATGAACGGAGTGGCCGGAGGTAAGCCGCGTGTCTTCGCCGCCCGGGACCTGCGCGGCCCGGAGCTGGTGGGTGGGGTGCAGTGGGTGTGCGGGAATCGGAGGAGAGGATTGGGGCTCCAAGTGGACGGTGCTGACTGCACTGGCTTTGGAGACTCGAAGTGGGTATAGGAGGAACCTGCGATAGCAGGGCCTGGGGCGCGCGGGCAGATGCACCAGGTCGCCGGCAAACCGGCGTGCGTGCGCCCCGGCGCACCCATTCCCCTGGCGAGCACAGGGATGCGGGGTGGAAGAGGCGCCCCCTCCACCGAGCTTCGAGGCTTGCTCAGGCCCTCTGGCCAGCGACACTTCGACCTCCCCTCTCTCGGGGCAGGGGCAAAGTGATGGTAAAGTTCGGGGCTCCTGGGGAGACCTGCGCGTCTGGAGAGCCGAGCGGCGGCGAAGTGCCAGGGGAAAGCGTCGGTAGCTCCCTCCCCGGCAGAGCCGACCCCGGGAAAATCTAGGAGCTCCCCTGAAGCGGCCTGGAGGCGCGCCCTCACCTGCGCGCCGCCCGCTAAGTTGAGGGGGTTAGCGAAGCGGGGGCTCCGGCCGGCGGAGGCAGGGAGTGGGTGGTGGAGGAGGGCGGGCAACGGCGGGAAGCAGCCCCCGGACTGCAGAGGGAGGCCCGCGGGGGCACCGGCAACGCCAGTTTCCTTGGCGATGCCGTGGAAAGTCGTCTCCCAAGGCCCCCGCGCCTTCCTCGAAGCCGGGCCACTGGCCTTGAGCTGAGGCAGGGACGCGCGGGTGTCAGGAAAGGCGGAGAAGATTGGGAGGGAACCAACCTACAGACTCCTTCCTCTACAGCCCCGATTCCTTCCAGCAGCTCTCAGCTGAAGCGCAGCGGGAGAGGGAGGGAGAGAAGGCACCAGGCGCCGGGGATGGGGAACAGCCCGGAAATCACCCACCCCCTTCTCGGGCTCTCCTCACGGTTTGGCACCGTGGCGGCACTGGCTGGGATAGGTCGATTCTTGGGTGGTGTTTTGGTGCCTCAGCCGTGGAACCCCCAGGCAAAAAAGAGAGAGAAGCTCCGGGCAGATGGGGATTTTTTAATATTGTTGTTGCTATTATTGGGTGTTTTTTATTGGGGACTAGAGCCACAGATGGCTGGGGGTGGAGGGGAGATGGGAAAAGCTCATTCTGCTTTTTTGGAGGTTGTTCTTGAGTTCCATACTGCCAATGGGTTGCCACAGTGGGATCTTGGGCTAGCTAGCCTCTTCTTACTGTCTATGGGCCACAATTTCCCCACCTTTTGGACTTTGCCCCAGCTCTTCAGTGCTAAGACTCTGGGCCTTGGAAATGGACCCATGTGAGTGGAGATGAGAAGGAAGTCCTGGCTGTTTTCTCATCGCTCCACCTCTATTCTGCCTTTTCCCTCCCCAGATGGCATGATCAACATTGACATGACTGGAGAGAAGAGGTCGTTGGATCTCCCATATCCCAGCAGCTTTGCTCCCGTCTCTGCACCCAGAAACCAGACCTTCACTTACATGGGCAAGTTCTCCATTGACCCTCAGTACCCTGGTGCCAGCTGCTACCCAGAAGGCATCATCAATATTGTGAGTGCAGGCATCTTGCAAGGGGTCACCTCCCCAGCTTCGACCACAGCCTCGTCCAGCGTCACGTCTGCTTCCCCCAACCCACTGGCCACAGGACCCCTGGGTGTGTGCACCATGTCCCAGACCCAGCCTGACCTGGACCACCTGTACTCTCCGCCACCGCCTCCTCCTCCTTACTCTGGCTGTGCGGGAGACCTCTACCAGGACCCTTCTGCATTCCTGTCAGCAGCCACCACCTCCACCTCTTCCTCTCTGGCCTACCCACCACCTCCTTCCTACCCGTCCCCCAAGCCAGCCACGGACCCAGGTCTCTTCCCGATGATCCCAGACTATCCTGGATTCTTTCCATCTCAGTGCCAGAGAGACCTACATGGTACAGCTGGCCCAGACCGTAAGCCCTTTCCCTGCCCCCTGGACACCCTTCGGGTGCCCCCTCCACTCACTCCACTCTCTACCATCCGTAACTTTACCCTGGGGGGCCCCAGTGCTGGGGTGACTGGACCAGGGGCCAGTGGAGGCAGCGAGGGACCCCGGCTGCCTGGTAGCAGCTCAGCAGCAGCTGCTGCCACTGCCTATAACCCACACCACCTACCACTGCGGCCCATTCTGAGGCCTCGCAAGTACCCCAACAGACCTAGCAAGACGCCAGTACATGAGAGGCCCTATCCGTGCCCAGCAGAAGGCTGCGACCGGCGGTTCTCCCGCTCCGACGAGCTGACACGGCACATCCGAATCCACACTGGGCACAAGCCCTTCCAGTGTCGGATCTGCATGCGCAACTTCAGCCGCAGTGACCACCTCACCACCCATATCCGCACGCACACTGGTGAGAAGCCCTTTGCCTGTGACTACTGTGGCCGAAAGTTTGCCCGGAGTGATGAGAGGAAGCGCCACACCAAGATCCACCTGAGACAGAAAGAGCGGAAAAGCAGTGCACCCTCTGCATCACTGCCAGCCCCGTCCACAGCGTCCTGCTCTGGGGGCGCACAGCCTGGGGGTACCCTGTGCAGCAGCAACAGCGGCACTCTTGGTGGAGGGCCGCTGGCCCCTTGCTCCTCTCGGACCCGGACACCTTGAGATGAGACTCAGGCTGACATACCAGCTCCCAAAGGTCCCGGAATCCCTTTGTCCACTGGAGCTGCACGACAAACACTACCACCCTTCCCTGCCCCTCCCTCCCTTCGTTGGGCGAAGGGCTTTGGTGGAGCCTAGCACTGCCCACTTTCCACCTAGAAGCATGTCCTTCCTAAAACTTAGCCCATTCTAGTCTCATAGATGAGCTGACTATCAACCCAAGGCAAAAGGGAGGCTTAGAGGGGGATGGGGTGGGGGCCCCTGGCTGAGGGCTGAGGTCTGACCCTGCTTTAAAGGGTTGTTTGACTAGGTTTTGCTCCCCGCTTCCCCTTATTTTGACCCCTCCCAGGCTTTTGACCCTGGATATCAGGATTAATCTAAGACGTTTTCTACAATAGGTTGGGAGATGCTGATCCCTTCAAGTGGGGACAGCAAAAAGACAAGCAAAACTGATGTGCACTTTATGGCTTGCGACTGATTTGGGGGACTGTACAGTGAGTGAAGCATGGCCTGAATGCCGCACTCTGTGGCCCTTGAATGGCGAATCAGAGCATATCTAGTTGTCTCAACCCTTGAAGCAATATGTATTATAAACTCAGAGAACAGAAGTGCAATGTGATGGGAGGGACATAGCAATATCTGCTCCTTTTCGTGAGAAATGTAGACTATTTTTTCAGTGTATATCCACTCAGATTTTGTGTATTTTTGATGTACACTGTTCTCTAAATTCTGAATCTTTGGGGAAAAAATGTAAAGCATTTATGATCTCTTGAAATGAGTCAGAGGTTAACTTATTTAAGGGGGATGTACATATATTCTCTGAAACTAGGATGCATGCAATCGTGTTGGAAGTGTCCTTGGTGCCTTGTGTGATGTAGACAATGTTACAGGGTCTGCATGTAAATGGGTTGCCTTATTATGGAAAAAAAATCACTCCCTGGGTTTAGTATGGCTGTATATTTCTGCCTATTAATATTTGGAATTTTTTTTAGAAAGTATATTTTTGTATGCTTTGTTTTGTGACTTAAAAGTGTTACCTTTGTAGTCAAATTTCAGATAAGAATGTACATAATGTTACTGGAGCTGATTTGTTTGGTTATTAGCTCTTAATAGTTGTGAAAAAATAAATGATCTATTCTAATGCAAAACCACTAACTGAAGTTCAGATAATGGATGGTTTATGACTATAGTGTAAATAAATACTTTTCAACAATATTTTTGTTGCAGAAATCATTTCTGAAATACTTACTGGGTAGGAATTAGTCATTCAATTTCTGTGGGACTATTTCTTAAAAACAGCAGTAAGCACCAGTGAAAATGCTTTTACCAAGCCAGGGTCTCCAGATCTTCTTTGCTAGCCAGTGGACACCAACCCCAAAGGAGGCTCCATTCATAATCAAACACTAGTGTTCCGGGGATTTCCCCCATGCATTAGTGTAAAAGTGGGGAGGCGTTGTTTTGACTCATTGTTCCGTTGTCTCTAACAGCCTATAGCTTCTCTGTGCTCCTGAGTGGGCTCCGGAAAATAAATACTTATAAACAAGTGCCCACTCGGAGACTACACATTTGCAACCACTTTCAGAACCCTGACCAGGGTCTGCAACTCAGATGAGATGTGGCTTTGTGGAAAGTGTGGTGGCGTGGTCAAGCTGGAAATGACTTTCAGCTTCCAGGATTAGTCTCACGACCACAGAAAACTTTTTGAAAAGCGCTATCATCTCTTTACATCTAAAATGCTCCCAGACGCTGCTGATGACAGCATTAATGGGTTGTCAAAAGGAATTACCCCAGGACTCATTTCGATCCAACCTTCACTTCCCAATTGATTACCCCTATTCGAAAGGATTATTGATCTGCCAAAGGTTTGGTGGGTCTAGAAGTGACTATCAAAATATTCAGCTCATTAGATAGTGGTGCCTCAAGAAAACTTCAAAGATAATCTAAACTAAATAGGCCGATATAGTTCTCCATGGTACTGAATAAGGATTTGCAAAGAATATACTGTATGGTTCATTTTACTGCAAGCCTTTTGTAGTGATTTAAAAATATAAATTCACCACAAAATAGTTAATTTAGCCACAAAGTAAACAGATGATGCCTGTGTGAAGTTATCTTTACTCTAAAATCTGGGCCTAAATATCATTTAAGTTCACCCACTTCTGGATCCTTACACAAACATAACATGTTGCAGCAGCGTTCACTGTTTAGCTGACATCTGAAAATCCGTTTGTCTGTTTGCCCATCAGCACCGTTAAGACTCCCTCAAACTCAACCTGTATTTCAGAATAGCCGATAGTCACAGCTACTCTGGAAACCACCTTTTGCCTTTACTAGCACTCGAATTTGAGATCAAATTTGTGGAGGGAATTAATTCCTTTCTTTCATGTCTCTTCTTCATCCCTGTTTCAAGGATGTAGAATCCCTCTATTGCTACAAAACAGAGGTTTCAGAATTTGTTTCAGATTTTTCTAGTGACTGGTGTTTTCCCATTAGTTCCTATTTCCCTGCTTGTCGGCATAGGATCATCCTTGCTTGTCCAACTTTGGCAAGTAGAAGACAATGCCACATTTTGATAATTACATGTTTTTAAAGAATACTTCCCTCCTACCAAGATTTCATTATATTAAAATATAGTTTACCCAAATTTTGTAAGGTACATTTGTCTTGCCAAATTCTAGAGTATCTTCAATCAAGATAATCTAACAATCACTTACAAAGCAATCGACTAAAAGTCACCTCAAAAATAAAATAGAAGATATTTTGATGACAGCAAAATTGATTACATAATCACCTTCACCCTGATGTGGGCTTGGTGAGGTAGCGCTAACACACATACCATGAGGAACACCACACCTCAGTGTTTTCTCAGAGCCAACTTTGTGGCTTTAAAACTATTAGATTTCAACATGTAAGGTCAGTATCTTTAATCAGATTTTGCTCTCTTCTTAAAATGTTCAGAGTGCTTCCTGCACATGCCTCATTTTTTACATTGCTCAAGAAATAAAGCATAGAAAAACGTCCTCTAATATTGTACATACACTTTACAGAATATTATTGATATTTTCGTTGTTGCTGTTAGTTTTCAAAAGCAACTTCTGGAGAATAAATTCCTTAAAGATTCATAATGCTTTTGAGATGGTTCAATTCATATTAAAAATGGGTTGATTATACCTAAGTAAGGTTTATAAATGTTCATAAACCAGGCTATTTAATTTCATTATCACAGCTGCTAATAAGATTAAGGCAAATTGTTTCATATCTGTTAAAAACGGCTGCAGTGACATTTTAACTATTCAATACCGTGTGTGTGTGTGTGTGTGTGTGTGTGTGTGTCTGTGTAAGAGTGGTCAGCATCAACACAAGTCCCAAAAATGCTGCCAGTAGAAGCTAAAACTAAACAAATTCTACAGGAGAACAAAGCAAAAAACAAGGAAAGAAAGTAAGTCCTAAACTCCTTCTAGAATGAACGTATTTTTGTTTTCTTATACAGTACTATCTTATTTTCCTTAGTTAAATACAAAGTAAGCTTTTTTGTTACAGCAAAATAGTCCGATTAGACATTAACTAGCTTCAGATGTGTTTTCCTTCATGCTGTCTTTAGGCTCACTCTCAAGGAAATAAACTATTTTTAAGCGTATATTACTACTTGGGCTTTGGAAATCTGCAGAAGGCCATTAGTTTTTAGTACAACATAATCTTACATTATACATTATGAACCTTTAATGGTAATCAGACTGTAGACATCAGAGCAGGTAAGGTTTTCCCTGGCCATCTTGCAATAATGAAGATTTATCTCTAAACAATTTTAAACATGCTTTTATTTTTCATAAGTACACTGATTTTTTTTTTTTTTTTTTGAGACAGAGTTTCACTCTTGTCGCCTAGGCTGGTGTGCAGTGGTGTGATCTTGGCTCACTGCAACCTCTGCCTCCCGGGTTTAAGCGATTCTCCTGCCTCAGACTCATGCCCAGCTAACTTTTAGTAGAAGCAGGGTTTCACCATGTTGGCCAGGCTGGTCTCCAACTTCTGACCTCAGGTGATCAATCCACCTCAGCCTCCCAAAGTGCGGGGATTACCAGTACACTGATTTTAATCCAGAAATGTAACCATCCCCAGATTCGGGTTTGAAGATTCAATATCTATAAGGGACTTGACAAATGGTTTCCTTCTTTGACAGCAGATGCCTCATTGCAATGGAAGTGATCAGTGATTGGCTTCTGTATATACACTTACTATTAATTCTGTAATTGCAGGTCTTTCATTTAGAGGTTGGAGTTGGAAAGCAATAGGCAAGCCCTGAATTAAAGACATATCGCTTCTTCATTGGGCATTAGAGCTAGAGCTCAAGATTCAGAAATCAGTAACAGAGGAGTAATGGCAGAGTCCTCCCGAGATGCCAGGATGGAGGCACCTACAAGGAGACAATGAAAAGGGGAATAAAAGGTGTGGATTTTGAAAAAACTTCAGGCTTAGTAGTGTTAAAGCTCAGAAATCCCACTCCTGTTGACAAAACACGTATTATTGAAAAAGTGGGCTATCATTTTCACTAATAAATAGGAGTTGGTGTAAATGCAACCCATTCAAATCAGGCTTAGTGAAAAATCAATTCTCATAAAATAGTAAGTAGGTACACAATACTCTGCGTTGATTTTACTGGCCAGTGACAGGACCAGATACTTTAAAAGCTTAGGAAGCATTTAGACAGACAATTTCTCACCCATGAGGCAATTATTGCGTTTATTATTCATCACAAAAGTGATTAATATCATTGTGCTCATTAGTCTTTCCTAGGGGAAGATGACTTTTAATCCCACAGTTGTTATTAAAACATTATCTGTATTGGAGGGGACTATATGGAAACACAAGAGCAACACACAGTCAGTTATGACTAACAGTTTATGCACACAGGTGCAAGATTACTTTCTGCACCACATTTTGTCTTTGTAATAAGCATATTACAAAGACACTATTCCTTAGTGGCTCACTAAACAAGTTACATTTTGTTTACTCAGAATTTATTAGTGAACCAGAAGTTTCACTGCTCTTATTGAACTAAATATTGACATACCATATTGCTGTTTTGGCCTGCAACAATTTTGGTTACTCTTTTGAAAAGCACCTTAGGTTTTTTCTTCCAATTTGCTTTGTAAATAAAAACTTAAAATTTTTTTTTCATAGAGTCATAATAACTCTTCCTTTATTCCTCTCCTACAGTCAGGATGTTTTGTAGGTTAGGTTACTGTACTCCAGGTTTTATTATATCACATACGTTGCTATTAACAATCTTTGTAAGCCAATCAACCTTTTGCTACAATATAATCCAAAAAAGTATGATTGATAACCACATTCATTACTGTGCTATGGAAAAAAAAACCTTTTATTTCATGAAGTTTTCTAAGAAAATCATTTGCATATCTAGAATTTATTTTCAAACTAAGTGGCATGAAGAACTGCTTCAAACTGCCCCCAAAGGCATTTTAAACTACACCAGAATGTGGAACTACAAGAAAACAATTTTAGCAACCCTGGAGGAAATGCTTGGTACTATGCCTGTGTCAGGTTTTATAACATAGTTTTCCATGTCCTGTTGAATGAGTATCTTTTTGTGTTTTGTTTTGGTTTTATTTTTAAATCATTCACCAAGTATTTGCTTTTTAATACTATCTTAAAAATTGGGAACAAATACTCCCTCATCCTGGGTCTCTGTAACACAGCCTGCATAAAGAGGCAAAGGCACATACTGTTTCTCTACATACAAGGTCAACATTCCACCACTAATAGCAAATCTCCCTTTATTATAGATATTAGAATGCTATCACCACTTGGGCAAGTCAATCAAGAGGGCTTAGACGACAGCTGGGCAAATGTTAATGTGTTTATTTCTACAATTTGTTTTTATTAAAAGTTTTGTGAAAAAAGGAATCCTATAAATAGTAAAAAAGAAACAGTGCTCCATGGTCTGAAGCAAATGGAGTCAATAAACCTGTAAACAAGGTAAGATTGCTCAGACTATTAAAAGCACAAAAATAAAACGAGTCACAGATAGCAAGACTGTTCAAGAGTTGGGAGTGGGAAATGGGAAGTGTTTAATCCCAAGTTTTGGTGCCCTAAACTGGTAGTAGTATAGCTAATTCTCAATTCTCTAGCTGTGATCATCTGTGCCTTCTGTGCCTTCCTACAGAAAACCACATTAGATGAACCCAGCGCTCGGTCGT